TAGTGCTGAAAGTGGAAAGAAGTGGACAGCCTTGACAGACATTTAGCACGTAGAATCTTGATGATCTGTCAGGGGCCAAGGGTAAACCCATCACTTACCACAGGGAAAAGGAGTGAGAAGCCAAAGCTTGTGATTCCTTTTTGGTTATGTTCTACCTGAGATGGTTGTGTGACACAACCATGTGGAGAAGCTGAATAGGAAACTAGTTACATGGGTCTGGAGATCTGAGAAGGAAGGATCAGAATCGTAAGTGTGGGGCATATTGATTAAAATCTTGTCATTAAATTATGCAGGGGAAAGGTGTGGCGTGCAAGGAATGGGCCCAGACCTTTAAAATAGTCATCTGGAGGTCATGGAGAAGCAGATAAGCAAGCCTGGGACACGGGAAAGATAGAGTACTGCTATCACTAAAAGAAGTGCCAGCCTTAAGAAGGAAGAATGAATTTCCCTGAGAGATCAGGTAAACTGAGGAAGGAGATTGTTCTCTAAATGTGGTGATTGTTGGTGTTATTGGAGGCAGTTTCGTTGGAAGTGTGAAACCAAGATATGAAAGAAGTAAGAGCAGAAGAATGTGGGCAGGCAGCTCTTTCAACGCCTTCAGCTGAGAGTAGGACAGAGGCAGGGTGGCAGGGGGAAGGTGCGCGTTTTCCCGGAAGGCTCCGGACTGATTAAATGCTGTTGATCATACAGATTCAGTCAAGAGATCAAGGTTGTTAGAATGCATTCGGTGATATTGGAAAAACCGCGGGGTAGCTTGGAATCTGCGCTTTCAAGAGTAGGGTGGACCGAAACCGGTTTGGCTCAGTGGATAGAGCGTCAGCCTGCGGACTGAAAGATCCCAGGTTCGATTCCGGCCAAGGGCATGTACCTCGGTTGCGGGCACATCCCTGGTGGGGGGTGTGCAGGAGGCAGCTGATCAATGTCTCTATCCCTCTCTCTTCCTCTCTGTAAAAAAAAAAAATCAATAATATATATATATATATATATATATATATATATATATATATATATATATTTTTTTTTTTTTTTTTTTTTTTTTTTTTTTTTAAGTAGGTTGGTAGGTTTGGAGGTGGAAAGTGGATACAGTTTCTCTTTGTCTTGAAGCAGGAGACAAAGTAATCTGAGAATAGGGGTCATAGGGGGGCAGAGTGGCAATCCCTTTGGGACTGGGAGTTTAAGGCAAAGTGACCGATTAGTGCATGAAGGTGGATGGCAGATTTCGCCAGAGCAGGGTTCGCGGGTCAGCAGGAGCATGAAGACCCTTGGACCTTGGATGAGGACCTGCTACCAACAAGGCGTCCAGGCCTTGGATGGAAGAACGCGGTTTCAGGCCAGTTCCGAGAGGCAGAAAGTGGAGACACACGTTTTAAGTAACCCCTCCCAGACAGTCAGAGGTCTAGAGTTCTGGTGGTTCCGATGCAGCTCCTTTTCCTGCAGGGAGGCTGCAAGCAGCTCGAGAGAATGCGGGAAAGGACGCGGCGCTTGCCGACGACCGGGAACTGCACACGCCTCCCGCCTCCCACCTCCCGCAGCGACGAGAACCCGCGAGGGCCCGGCCCGCAGCCCGCCGCTCCCGGCCGGGCGGGACCGCCCCTTCCCGCCCCGGCCCGCCGGGACTCCGCCACCACCACTTCGCTTCCTCCTTTCCCGCCCCGCCATCCAGTCCCTGCGCTTCCTTCGCTGCGGACCGCCCTTCGGGCTTGACGTCCCGGGTGTATCAGCCAATGGGCTGAAGAGGGACGGCCGCAGCGTGAGAGTGACGGCAGCAGCAGCCAATGGCCGCAGGGAGGGGGCGGGCCGAGCAGGAGTGTGTGTGAGTGAGCGCCCGCACGCGTGGGGAGCTGCGGGAGGTGCGGGCGGCGCGCGGTGCGGGAGGGGGGCGCGGCGGGCGGCCCCTCCCCGTGCCCGGCTCCGGGCGGGCGACCCAAGCGGCGGGAGTTCCTGCGCCCGGGAGGGCGATGCGGCTGCCTCCCGGGCTCCTTGCAGGTAACGCGCGGGGCGGCTCCTGCAGGGCCGAGTGGGGCGGGGCGAGCAGAGTTGGGGTGCGGAGTGGACGCGGGGTCCCCGCTCCTCCCCCCCGGCCCGGTCCCCGCGGCGGGTCTGCGGGGGAGTTGGCTCCGGGACCGCGATTGCGAGCGGGGTCACGGGGACGCGGGCGCCCCGGTGTAAGCTGCACGCAAGCCGCACGCGGGACAAAGGGCTCGGCGCGGAGGGTGCGCGCTCCCCCTGTCCACGCCCCGCGTGTCGGCTCCGGAGTTCCCTGCACCCGGTGCCGTGGTCACCCCGCCTGCTCCAGCTCATCGCGGGGGGTCCCGGGAGGCGGCGGCACCTGGCCTCGGGGACCCGCGCCACCCCGCGCCTGGCCGCGGTGCGGGTTAGGGCTGGGCGCAGCCTGGCCGCGTGGCCGTCCGTCCGGGGTGAAAGGCGGCTCCCCTGCAGCGCAGCGAGTGATCCCTGCTCCTCGCTGGCTGCTGAAGCGAACGACCGGGAGCCCCGTGCCACTGCCGGGGCCATCCAGCCGGCGCTCCTTGCGCGCGGGCTTGGAGTTTGGGGAAGCCGAGCAGGTGGCCCAGCGAAGAAGTGGGAAGGAACCTTGGATCCTAAGGGAGGGAAGCTGCCCAGAGGCGGGGAGGCCAGGCAGAATGGAGACATGCAGAAGGCAGGAACTAACTGGGCATACCAGGGTCTCCGAGGGGCCCTGCAGCAGAGGAGGAGGGGGAGACCGACTCAGTTTTCTTGCTGGCTCCCCAGGATCCGGCCCTGATCCCAGCAGGGCACCCCCCAGATGTTAGGGGCCACATCATGCCTTAATCTCCTGTTACCTGAGCACCAAAAGATTAGTCTGTTACAGTCTGAGGTAACAGGTGAGGCCTGGCAATTAGTTAAAGAAGCACAATTTTCTGATTCAGTATTCTTCCCGTGAGGCTATTTGACCACCTTTTGTGAAATAATACTCAAATATGTGGGACTAAGGTAGATACCATCAAAGCCATCTGTCATGTTCACAGCTCTGTGGTGCATTTAGAACTGTGTGAAGTATTTGCTTTCCTCCACCTTAACTTTTGGAATCAAAGACTACTTGATTAGCTCCATATTAAATCATGGGATCTTTCTAACTATTCAGTCTGGTTTATGTGTCTGTCTTAAGTAGTAGGAACAATTTGTTTAACTGAAATGTAGACAACAATGAATGCTTGAGGCCTGCCTGAGGACCTGGATTGTGTTTGCAGCTGTAGTTTGGAGTTGAGCAATAGTTTATCCTTTCCTGGGAAAAGAAAGAAGAGGCAGCAGCAGGTAGCAGCTGGAATTCCCCCAGCTCCCGCAGAGAGCATGCGTTAGTTACATCAGGCGGGGAAGCTCGAGGGACCAGCAAGCAGGGAGAGATGCTGAGCCTTTCCTCTCTGGATTGGAAATCTGAGAAGGCCATCAGATGATGAGTCTTGTTGACTGTCGGGTTTGTCTCGACGTTCACACAGAAGCCTATCAAAAAGATGTCTGTGACCTCAGAGGGCCTCTGTGGCTGACTTCTTATTGATTCCATAATCTGGGCGATTCCCTGGGAGACCTGGAAACAAATGCAATCCAACTGCCTTCCCCGTTCAGGGGCCTGGGATTCTCCTCTGTCTCAGCAGGAAAGGGATGGGGGCAGGTCCCTTAGCTAGGAAAGGCTAGGAAAGACAAGGGCCTCCGAACCAAAAATTTTCCAAAGAAAGCAGTTAGTTGTGTGCCTGTGCTTTCCCCCACCTTGAAGAAGGTACTTGTAATGACGCTAACCATCCGTGGGCATTTATGAAAGCCAGTGTATCTAAAGACAGTGCTTCTAAGCTCTAGGTGCATGTCCTGGTTTACCCTCTTGACAACCATGTAAGGTCAGCACAGTATCACCCTCACATTAGAGGTGAGGAAACTGAGGCCCAGAGAGGATAGGAACTTAACCAAAATGGAACCCAAGCAGTCTGACCCAAACATAGTTCTGGTAAATGCAAAGAACGGACCTATTCAAGGTGTGGTGGGAATGGGGACAGATAACATGCTGCTTTGGGTGAATTCCAAGGCAGGGAGCTCTCGCTGCTGGGAAGTGACTCCGCTTTGCAGAGTCCCACCGCAAGTGGGTCCTGAGGCGATAGGTAGCATCCGCCAGGCCAGAGGACAAAGTGGCAAGGCTGAGACAGACATTTCTCGCTTTAACATTTTGCCTGTTTGAAAGAAAAGGTAAAAATAAATGGATATTTTTAACTTGACCCCTTCACAGATATTGAAGGTCTCACCTAGAATCACTTCCCCTCCTCCTTTTGATACAGCTCAGCTCTTTCTGCGATAAGGTATTACCTCAGACCAGTCAGTCTACAACATTCTCTCCTTCCTCTGTCGTCTGTGTGTGAAGCACTGACGTGGCCATCCGTGTGCCCTGCCTTGCTGTCTCTATCAAAACTCCCCTCTCCCAGATTTTCATCTAACTGGCCTGACTTCTCAGAATCCCAATCATGTCTCATACCCACCACCATCCCCCACATACAATGTGCTAAGACCAAACCGGGAATATTTCTTGATTTTTTCTTGATTGGATGCAGTAAGATGGTTAACTTTTTTTTTTTTTTAATTTTGTAAACTGATTACAAGCCTGTAAAAAAAAAAAATCATTTCCAATAGGAGGTTGATAAGTATAGGAGTCCATTAGATCAGTGTTTCTCACAGATAACCCAGCATCGGAAACGCAGGGGTGTCAGTCTGCTAGGCTGCAGTTGGGCCCCGGAGAATCCGAATGTGTCCCAGGTGGCTTTCTGTCCATCAGAAGTTTGAAAATGGCACCTTACACTTCCTAAGGAGTGCATGCTCTAAAATTGCAGCATCATGGCTGTCTAAACTCTTACTCAAGATATGTCCACGGCGGAAGCATTCCTAACGGTGCGCTGATCAATAATCGTAGCCTGTTATTTTTCTTGCAGATTTCTAACCAGCAGAATGCTGGAGCCAGAGACGGACAGACTGCAGTTTTCAAAATGGCCGAGCTGGAGGCCGACTTGGAGCACATCGTCCCATCCTCCATCCCTCCTTTCCGGGCTAAGTTGGTCGTGGGCTTGGCTTCCCTCCTGTGTTTCGCACGCAGCTACGATGGAGAGTTTGTTTTTGATGACTCTGAAGCGATCATTAACAATAAGGTTCGTATCTTAATTCCTTCCTGATAAACTGATGTTGACCGCTCGCCTACATCTCAGTCATGATCTACGTTTGTGTTGAATTATTTTCCCTTCCACATGGGGTAAGCCTTTGCCTGGGCTCCAGTTGTGCTCTAGATTCCCCACTTAATTAATTAATTAATTTATTTATTTATTAAATATATTTTGTTGATTTTTTACAGAGAAGAAGGGAAAAAGATAGCTAGAAACGTCCATGAGAGAGAAACATCGACCAGCTGCCTCTTGCACACCCCCTACCGGGGATGTGCCCGCAACCAATATACATGCCCTTGATTGGAATCGAACCTGGGACCCTTCAGTCTGCAGACCAACGCTCTACCGCTGAGCCAATCCAGTTTCGGCTGATTTTTAAATATAATTTATTGAGAGAATCACCGATCAGCTGCCTCTTGCACACCTCCTACCGGGGATGTGCCTGCAACCCAGGTATATGCCCTTGACCGGAATCGAACCCGGGACCTTTCAGTCCGCAGGCTGACGCTCTATCCACTGAGCCAAACTGGTTTCAGCTCCCCATCTCTTTTAGATAGCATCTCCTGGGTGTAGGGCCCCTTTTATTGCTGGCAGCGAGATTTCCAACCCCTGTCTCCCCTCGGGCTCTACCCTCCCCATATGCCCTCTGTGATGTGAGCCCACAGGCCTCCCCCATGTATCAGAGAGACTGTTATCCTAAGATTTCAAGGCGAGCATTTTGTAGGGCCTTGCAGACGGAGGATTTCAGGGTTTGTGTTAAATCCCCCGAACTTCTAGGACAGAACTGTTCCAGGAAAAAAAAGAAAATCACACACATACTGCAGTGATCATCCACCAAAAGGTACATCTTCAGCAGCAGGCAGCGCGCTGGCTTCTTTGTCCTTCAATGATAGCATCGGGACAGCTGCTGACAGCTGCTGGAGGGTGGGGAGCGCTGCAGTGCCTGCTCATTCGCGTTCTGACTCAAATTTGTAGAGTCAGCGAAATCCCAGCACTTGTGCTCACCAGTGGGTGCTACATCAGTCCAGGGAAAGTGTTGCCTCTTTCCCTTGCTGCCTAGGGGTAAGGAAGAAGACATAAGGTTGTGGGAAGGAAGGAAAAAGATTTCGGTGAGCTTAAAACCAGAACAAGAGAGGCGGAGGCAGGCAAGGGCCGAGAGGAGACAGACCGTGGAAATGGCCCAGATTAGAGTCCTGTGACAGTCTACTCAGCAGATATTTTATGTGTATGCCTTCACCAATGAAGAGGGTTTGAAGGAATATACTAGTTTTTCTCTCTACCTGTGTTTCCCCGAAAATAAGACATCCTCCGAAAATAAGACTTAGCGCATGGAAAGATAAGACATCCCCTGAAAATAAGATCTAGCACATCTTTGGGAGCAAAAATTAATATAAGACACTGTCTTATTTTCAGGGAAACAGGGTAGTAGGTACAATTGTAGCAACTCTTTGTCCCACTGTTTTTTAATGCTCTGAAATTTTTTCAGTCATGATTCAACCAAATGTGGGAAAATTCATTATCACATTGGAAATATTGGGGGAAATTGTCTATGTGGCAAACATTCTTTTCCAGGAGGGCTGGGAGGAATGACTGTTTTTTGCATATATTTTATTTTCATGCGTTGCAACTGATTTTCTCTGTTTTGATGGCACATACAGCAGCATTGTTGACACTTGCTTTTAATTCAAGTTCTTTGTACTTTTCCTCAATTCACCCAGCCGTTACTGCAGATGTTTCTATTTTAGTTCTTTTTAAAGCCAGGCTTAAAGGAAAAAGAAGGACGTTTGTAGCCCTAAGCAACCATGTTATGTCACACGCGTGGCTTAATAGCTATAGAATTCCTAACAAGGAATCGAGGGCATGACTTGACTTTAAAATATTTATTCTTCATTTTATTTTTTTTTATTTTTTTCATATATATTTTTATTGATTTTTTCACAGAGAGGAAGGGAGAGGGCTAGAGAGTTAGAAACATCTATGAGAGAGAAACATTGATCAGCTGCCTCCTGCACACCCCCTATTGGGGATGTGCCTGCCACCGAGGTACATGCCCTTGACCGGAATCAAACCTGGGACCCTTGAATCTGCAGGCCGACGCTCTGTCTACTGAGTCAAACCGGTTAGGGCTATTCTTCATTTTATTGAGAGTTTCTTGACTCTTCCACGTTGGTTAAGTGGAAGGTATTTAAGGCGTTAACTTATATGGGGCAGAACTTCCATAAGCAAGGCCGGGACAGCTGGAGCTCTGGGATGTGGGATGCACTGGGGGGTGGCTGTAGTTCTCCTTCCTTCTGGGTGGGGTTAGGCAGAGGAGCCACGTGTCATGACTCCGCGGCACATTGTCTTGGCAGTGTTTTCTAGAGCATCACACTGCCCCTTTGTCAGCTTGCTAGCCCTCCTTTTTCCTTTCGTGTTTCATGAAAGGCTCTTCTCCATTCACTGGCACCGTGCCTACCGTCATGTGAAGCAGGCTGTTACCGGGTGTTACTGGTGTTCCAAGGCTGCTTTCCAGATGCGTCCTTGCAGTGTCCAGTTGCCTTCTTTCATTGAGATGATGATTTTCTCTGAGACATGACGTTAGCAGGAATTTCATACATAACACGTCTTTCCCATTAATCCTTATCAGGAAAAATCAACCTTCCTATGGCGCGCCCCGCTTGTGTAGGTTACGCCTAATCAAATATTTAAAGCTTCGTTGGTGTTTATTTACTGCTCAAGTGGAAGGAAAGAGCCTCTGCCCAACCCTTCCACAGCTGGACAGGTGCTTCTGGGACAGTGCAAAAGAAGATGGACTTCCAGTTTCATAACTGAGTGGACTTAGTTGGTGGGTGGACCACAGGGACTTCCAGAAATAGCTAACCGACTCAGAGAGGGTATTGGTACATGCAAGGCCTCTGAAGCGGACACCCACTGGAAGAGAACTGCAGCCTCAGAGTAGGTATCAGGTGACCAGCCTTGTATCTCTTGCCTCTTCCTCTTCTTTTTTTTAAAAATATATTTTATTGATTTTTTACAGAGAGGAAGGGAAAGAGAGAGAAAAACATCGATCAGCTGCCTTTTGCACTCCCCCCACTGGGGATTTGCCCGCAACCAAGGTACCGTGCCCTTGACCAGAATCGAACCTGGGACCTTTCAGTCCGTAGGTGGACGCTCTATCCACTGAGCCAAACCAGTTTCGGCTCTTGCCTCTTCTGAAGCCTGTCCCTTTGAGCCAGCAAGCACTTCAGTGGCCAGGACTCAGTGAACTCCACTGGGCGCCATGGACACTGGGGGCTCTGCACCAGCCACGATTTGACACACTGCCTCTGTGTGCGGCATTCCCCGCCTTCTGGTTGTTAGATGCTACAAAGACTGTCCAGTTCAGACGCAGACACAGGCACAGACGTGGGCTCTCCTGTCAGGTGTACCACCTGCTGGAGTGAGGAGCTCATAATGCACAGAGGTGGGGTCTGGAGGTGCCCAAGCCCCTCGGGGAGGTGCCAGCGGTGGGGATTGTGGGTGTGCTCCTGGCTGCTCAGCCCTGACCTGGTTTTCCAGCCCATCTGGGAGTGCGGGAACCTTGTACTAACTTTAAAGCCTTCCCTTTTTGCTCACGTCAGAGTTGATTTTGGTTACTGCAACAGTCTTGACTGATATATCATGCGGTGCTCAGAACATCATGATGTCTAGTCCCTAAACTATTCCTGTGTAATTATGGTTTAAAGAGAAAATTAATACTCCATTTTGTTACTCCACAGTAGCTTTTCTTCTTGTTAGAGACAGTTTAAACAATCTAGTTTCATATTTAAATGTAAAAAAAATACATGTTTTTAAGCATCTATAATACAGTACCAAATTAAATTACCTTAGTAGTAAGATAGGTATACTTTTTTAAATAGCTAGTGATATGTATCTTTAAAAAATTATGTGGAAGTTGTTTTTCCTTTAATTTTTCTATCCGCTTAGCTCATGACTAAAAATGAGAAACTTAAAAAAAAATACATGTTTATCCACACTCATGAGAGAAAGTAATAGTGATCTCATTTAGCTATATGGTCCATTCAATCATTCGGCATAGATTGAGCATCTTCCATGTACCCCCAGCAAACACCGATGTGTCCCAGGCCTCTCGGAGCCCCAGGCCCGCGGGGCAGACAGATAATAGTCACTAGACTATAAATTGTCAGTGTGCCAGTTGCTGTGAGGATGGGTGCAAGATGCCCAGGACCCCCAGAAGGGAAATTGCATAGAAAGGTCATAGCTCAGTGGCTGAGATATGAATGGCAGGAGGAACTGAGTTGTGTTTCAGGGTGAAGCCTACACCTTGGCTTCCGTCAGCCACGCCCTATGAGGCTCCTGAGTCTCAGTGTTCCTCAGGGTCCTTCAGTACTCGTTGCAAGCACCTCTGAGAGAAAGGTGCCCTCGAGTTTCGCCTGCTACCCAACAGTCTAGGCTCTCCCCCAATGAACCCGGAACTGGGGTTCAGTTCAGTTGGAAGTGGGGTTCAGAGCAGTCTGGAGCTTTTGTCTCCTTCCCGCCAGGGCAATCCAGCGGCACAGTCAACCGCCCGTCCTGTGCGCACGCAATGTGCACGCCTCCGGGACTTCCTTTCGCCGCTCCCCCGGGGTTCCGCCTTACAGCCCAGGCTCCCTCTGTATGAGCTTGGGTCCCCAGGGTCTGGCCTAGAACTGGGGTTCAGTGCAGTCGGAACTGGGGCTCGGCACAGTCTGTAGCTTTTGTCTCCTTCCCACTAGGGCAATCTAGCAGCAGAGTCAACAGTCTGTCCTCTGCGCACAATTGTGCGCGCCTCCGAGGGCTCTGCCTTTCACCGCTCCCCCCAGGTTCTGCCTTACAGCCCAGGCTCCCTCTGTATGAGCTTGGGTCCCCAGGGTCTGGCCTAGAACTGGGGTTCAGTGCAGTCGGAACTGGGGCTCGGCACAGTCTGTAGCTTTTGTCTCCTTCCCACTAGGGCAATCTAGCAGCAGAGTCAACAGTCTGTCCTCTGCGCACAATTGTGCGCGCCTCCGAGGGCTCTGCCTTTCACCACTCCCCCCAGGTTCTGCCTTACAGCCCAGGCTCCCTCTGTATGAGCCTGGATCCCAGGGTCTGGCCTAGAACTGGGGTTCAGTGCTATCGAGTCTGGGGTTCAGCACAGTCCGGAGCTTTTATCTCCTTCCCTTTAGGGAACACCAGCCAGGCACTCAGCCTCCCCCTCCTCTCCGGCTCCATCCTCTCTGCGCGCGCAGCGTGTCTCCGAACCTTAGGCTTTTACAGCTCCTCTGCTTTTCCTTCTGGTTTTCTCTTTCCTTCTTGTTGTAGAATTTCTAGTCAGTCGATTTTCCTGTAGTTCTGGGTAATGTCCATTTTGTATTTTAGTTGTATTTTATTGAAATTGTTGTGTGAGGCTGCAGTTAAGTGTTACCAATGCCGCCAGGAGCTGAGTTGTGAAGAGTTGAGGAGTGACCAGCTGGATGGAAACCTGAACATTCAAAGCCTTTGAGTGAATGGTAGCAAGAGCTGTGTGGGGATCAGATGCAGGCCATTAGCAGATCACTGAGTCCAAGAGATGAGCCTGCAGAGGTTGGTGGGAGACAGAGCACCCGGACTGTGGTGTCTATGTCAAAACATCGGCCTTGTCCTAGAAAGGGGGGAGGGAAGGCGCTGTAGCATTGTTTTAAGCTGAGGTGGGTGGAGTGACTCGATTTGCATTTTGGAAAGAGAAATGTGGAGAATGTGTCAGAGGGCCCAGGGGACCTGTTAGCAGCCCAGGTGGTGGAAGAGTTGGAGAATCTAACCTAATAATAGAGTAATATGCAAATTAACCCTTACTCCGCCACACAAGCCACGGCCACTAACCAATCAAAGTGAGTATGCAAATTAACCCAACAAAGATGACGGTTAATTTGCATATGTGGAAAGAGGGAGGAGTGAAGACTGAAGACAGCATAGAAGGAAGAGGGAAGGAAAGTGGAAAGCAAGGCGGCTGTGGCTGCTGGAGGGAAAACACTGGCAGCACCTGCAGGGCGGGGAGAGGCAGTGGGGGTGGCGGACACAGCGGGTCGGGCATGTGGGGCAAGGTGTGCAGCAGTGGGGCAGTGCCCGTGGCTGTGGAGATGGTGGCCCTCCCCCACTCTACCCTCCGCATCAGGGGATGTGCGGGTGGTGGGAAGGAAGCCCACTGGAAGTCTTGCAGGAACATTCCTGCAACAGGTGCCTCGTAGAGGTATAAGGAACTTTAGAGAAGGGGACTCGTGAGGGCTTAGCTCTGGGTTCAGGAGTCAGGACTCCTTTGTCCTGAACATCCTCTGATTGTGTTCCCGCAGGATCTCCGAGCAGAAACGCCCCTTGGGGACCTGTGGCATCATGACTTCTGGGGCAGTCGGCTGAGCAGCAACACCAGCCACAAGTCCTACAGGCCTCTCACCGTGCTGACTTTCAGGTGAGGAATGACTGGGCTGCACGCGAGGGCCACCCACAGCTTGTGCGTTATCATGTACCAGGTGGCATGTGACAGGAGTCCCGGGCTCTAGGAGTCCAGTGAATAGTTCCCAGGGAAGCATAAGTCACTTGCCTTTAGGGGTTTCCAAGACGTATGTGATAGTTCTAACTGTTAGGAGTTAGGCCACAGGAAGACGGAGAGAACCTACCTGTGGAAACGTCATCGCAGGGCTTGCTTTAGCAGAAAAGGTGCTAAAAGTGGAACAACAATACAGAGGCTAGCACGGCCCCTGTCAAGAATGACATGCACATGGGTGAAGCACAGCTCCTGGAAGCTGGACCCTTTGCTCGTGCATACCTAGGAAACAACACGAGACAAGGCAACATGTGGCATCCCATGAAATTGCCATTTTTCTCCCCACTACAAATAAAAGGCATCAATCTTCCTGCTGTTACCAAGTCAATAGGCAAAAAAAAAAAAAAGTTAAAAAACCAATCCCACTCTCCCCATTAATCAGGGAGCTGTTTGCATGAAATAGATTTATTCACCACACAGAGTTCCTATTCATAGCTATTTCTTTGACGCATTAAACACTTGTCTATAGATCTCTCAAAGAAGCATGGAGATGAAATGGAACCACTGGTAATGGGAACGCAGTCAGAAAAATAAGAATCCCTGACAATGAAAAAGTGGTTCATTGTTCAGAAGCCTGGTAGAAAAACTGTACTTTCTTTTCTTTTTTTTTCTTTTTTAAAATAAGCAAGTTACATGACTATCTTATATCCAGGTTCCTGTGGGATAGCGATGAGTAATGTGCGATCTGTGCGTTTTTTTGTTTGTTTGTTTGTTTGTTTTTTGCAGTCTTGCCTTTTTTGCTCTTAAAAATTCCTTCCGCCTTCCCTCTCCACGTATTTTCTGTCCCACTCCTCTGAAATCCCTTTGTCATCTCTTCCCCCCTCTGTAGCTCATTGTCCTTACCTTCTCTCCAATTTCCTCAGCTTAGCGGCATTGTTTATCTGGGTGTTATTATAACCAACATTGCACAAAGTCTTCTTTCCTCCTTGTAGCATGTTTTACTCACCAGCCTTTCTCTGTAGATGGTTTGCATTTTGCTTCAGGTGCTTCTGCACACCTGGTGTGAGCACCCTTCCTTTGCCGCAGGATTAACTACTATTTGTCGGGAGGCTTCCACCCGGTGAGCTTCCACGTGGTCAACATCCTCCTGCACGCCGGCATCTCGGTCCTCATGGTGGATGTCTTCTCGGTGCTGTTCGGCGGCCTGCAGTACAGCAGCAGAGGCCGGAGGGTAAACCTGGCCCCCAGGGCCTCCTTGCTGGCCGCTCTGCTGTTCGCTGTGCACCCGGTGCACACGGAGTGCGTGAGTATCGCCCACCCGCGGCCCCTGCGCGTGTGTCGGTGTGTGTCCTAAGACAGGCTTCCTATAAATGCTCGTAGAGCTGCGGTGGTGCCCTGCCAGGCGTTTGAGACCATCGTAGGCAGGTCCAGCAGGTCTCTCTTACGGGAAAATGCAGAGTCCCGGTTGACTAAGACTTTATAACGGCAGCATGGTTTGCTCGCTGGTGATGCTCTCTGGTTCCCTCCTATACTCACACTGTAAAGGTGTGCCTATTGCATGTTGCCTGGCTTTGGGGTATATAAGCTAGAGGCCAAGGTTACCTTTCTCCATTTTCCTGTGTTCGCTGAGAGGTGTATAGTTGGCAAAATACTCCCTCGTACTGTCATGATTGTCACTAACACTGTTGGATCAGATTGGGCAGCATCACAGTTTCACTTTAGAGAAGAGGAACTGGCCTGGGAGGACCGGTAGAGACTTCTCCCAGGGCAGTCCTGTGGCTGGCGGGTGTAGGAATAGAACTGGAAACCTGGTTGTCCCAGGTCTTTGCAGAGACGCTGCCGCCATGCTCTTGAGTTGAACTAGGAAGCTGGTCCCCAAGTCCTCTGTGACATTACTCACGAGTTCTCCCCGCCTTCCTTCTCCTCTCCTTGGCGCCCCCTGCATTATTCTCTTTTCTCTGGGCATGTGGTTTGGCAGCTCCTGATGGGCCTGACCCTCTGTCCTGTGGGCCGTGCCTTTAGTCCACTGAGCTGCTGCTGAGTATATTTGGTAGAAATTATATGGGATTTTCAGAAACCACGCTACCCCACCTCCATGGGAACCCTTTGAAAATGTAAATCATCATGTTTGCTGAGGTAAAATATTTTATTTTACTCATTCATTCTGTGAGCATGAAGTACCTCATATAAAATACTGCATGTACATTACTACTTCTCCACAATTGATTTCTGCATTTCATGTGTTATTAAATACCTATACGTTAACCAAGTGCTTTGAGCATCTTGGAATTAAGTTTCAAAATACTGAGCAAAATTCCTGCCTTTAGCGTCTGGTTTTTAAAATTTTTTTAAAGTATATTTTATTTATTGTTTTACAGAGAGGAAGGGAGAGGGATAGAGAGTTAGAAACATCGATGAGAGAGAAACATCAATCAGCTGCCTCCTGCACACTCCCTCCTGGGTATGTGCCTGCAACCAAGGTACATGCCCTTGACAGGAATTGAACCTGGAACCCTTGAGTCTCCAAGTCGGATGCTCTCCACTGAGCCAAACCGGCTAGGGCTAGCATCTGATTTTATAAATTTTATTAAACTACCTCTTCTTTGGTGTTAAGAAGATTGTGGAATTGTCCTTTCAGTGTTCTTTAAAATTTTATCTACTTTAAAGCTTTAAAAAATTCTCATAATGTTTTACTTCAGCAAATTCAGAGGACTTAATGTACTGGCAAGCTGGGAACTACTGCAAGCTATATGTTTGTGTTCAAATTAGAATTTGTTTCTGTCCTAGTTCTCTTTATGGCCTAAGTATTTGTTGGGATTCAGAAATAGTGTACACATTAATCAGAAACAAGGGTATTTCAGGCAGAAGTACTGATTTGGTACTTATCTGATGTAGTGTGATCTTAAAAGCAAAATTCAAAATATTTGAATTATTAACCAAAGAAGTTTTTCTAAAACTCTGATTTTAAATATTGAAAAGTTAGTTTATAAACAAGTTTGAAATGCCGACAAGTATAACTGGATGTGCACACACCTCCCCAGGTAAATGCAATCCGGGGATGTCACCACCAAAATTCTACATTTGGGATATTTAAAAATAAGCCCAAAGGAATCTAGCTTTAGGAGAAAGGGGAGTATCTGAAAAAAATTTCTTAACGTCTCCCACCCTTCCATTCTGTGAAAGTCATTCGAATTCATAATGCAAGGAAAAGTTTAGGGTTATTAGAAATTAGCATTCCTAAGACAGATAATTTATATATTCACCTTTCATTGTTTTGACAAATAGTCAGTATTTATCTTTATCTCCCTTTTATTTTCTGCTCTACAAGTAACCCAGCTTTAAATTGAGCATAAAGCAGGACTACCCAAAGAATCAGATGGAGCAATGGTGGGCAAACCAGAGCTTGCTAGCCACATGTGGCTCTTTGGCCCCTTGAGTGTATTAACGCCACTCCTTCAAAATAGACTCACCCAGGCTGAAAACTGACTTCTGCCCATGGGCCACAAAGTTTCAATCCCACTGTACATGTGCACCTGCACATGGTATTTTCTGGAAGAGCCACATTCAAGGGGCCAAAGAGCCGAGGTTTGCAGACCCTGAGATGGAGGGAGACTCTTCAGATTGTTCACGGCAGGACCAAGGGAGCCGCCCTGTGCTGTGGGCTGGGGCCTGGCCGGTCCCTAGTAACGACCCTGAGCACAGCATCCTCACCTCCCGCCCCCACTGAACATTGACCTGGGATGAGGATTGAGGATTTGGGAGTAATTGTGCTGCTTCTGTTCACATTTATTAAGTGAAGGGATAGTCATGGCAGTGTAGGTCCCTCCAGTGTTAGTACTGCATTAGTAAATTTCCCTATATTAGCATTGACATGTATTGTGTCTTAACATTAATATTAAAAATGTTTTTGCACAATGAAAATAAGAACTACATTTTCTGTGCCCTGGCTGAGTGACTCGGCTGGAGCATTGTCCCATGCACCAAAGGGTTGTGTGTTCCATTCCCAGACAGAGCACATACTAGGTTGTGGGCTTCATCCTTGGGGCGCATGTGGGAGGCAACCTCCCTTCCTCTCTCTATAAAAATCAATAAAAGGCATATCCTTGGTTGAGGATTTTTAAAAAAGAGCCTACATTTTCTAGCCCACCCCCGCCCCAGCCTCACCACCCTATTGTCTGTGTCCAAGGATTATCCATATATGCATACATATAATCCGTTTGATTTTGCTTTCCAATTCATATGAATGTCTCTTATTTTCAACTCTGCCACCCCAAATCACTCTGGGGTGTTTGTAGATGGTGAGGGCTCTAACACCCTAGTCACCAGAAGAGGGAGGGGAGCTAAGGGAGCCAGTTGCCTAGTTCCTTGTCTCTTTGGAGACCAGGAAGCAGCCCTGGGGGTTCCCTGAGGACACAGTGCAATTAATTATAAGTTTTCGTTTTCCTCAGAGCACTGATGAAGATGTCCAATTGCCTGAGTTTGGGTATCAGAGAGGGATGCTCAGGCCTCCTTAATCTGCCCGTTCAATAAACCCAGAGCTTCGTGCTGAAAGCGCTGGGTGAGGAAACATTCCCCTGTCACCTCCTAATTCCTCCTGTGGCCCCTGTGCACGTGGTTCCTAGTGGGGAAAAGTGAGCCATCTGCTTTAAGGATTCGGGAGGGTTGGGGGGAGTGGGGACGGTTGTCAGTGATTCCCCTAGAGAACTGTGGAGGAGGAAAAAATTTTAGTCTGGGTCTTTTCAGCTGGTCTAGTAATGAAATCAACATGAGACAGATTAACAAGAGAAAATAACCAAATTTAATTACATGTGTATGTATGGGAGCCCCACATACATGAGAATGTCAGAGATCCCATATACATGAAGGTTCAGAGACAGAAAAGGGAAAATGAGGTATAGAAGGCATCCTGCACCAAGGAATGATGGGAGATGCCTTGGGGTATCAGATGGGGGCAGGGAGGAGGAAAATTTGCCGGCTTCAGCTCAAAATAGCATGCCAAAATGGTGCATTGTGGGAAAATTTGTTCTGAACCCCTTCAAAATCCTGATATGAATGTTTAAGGTTATTTGTAAGAAAAAAATAGGCTTTGTAAAGAACTTTGCCTGAAAATATATTATGCAAAAATCAGAAAGGATGAATAAAGTCTCTTTGTACTCATGCCCATTTACCAGTTAGATGTGGTGCCCACTTGGATAGCCTTTTATAGTCTTGTCTGTGAAATCTCTTTACTATGTGAAAAATTTACTGTAAAGACTAAATACTCTCTTTACTTTAAAACAATTGCCATTCTGTTTAAAAAACACATTTTTCTCTATGTCAGACCATGTAATGTATATTGCATAAAACTTGGTAGTGTCTTCACAAGCTAGCCAAAGGAAGAATATTTGTTTTAAAAATAAGTGATGTTTAAAGTTCACATTAGTGAACCTGCATCAAGAGTTCAAGATCAGAATGCATAGTTGCCCTTAGCATTTCCTATCTAATCAGCGTAGCGGGAAACTCCTAGTAAAGGGTTAGTCTCTAACTGTCCCTAGGTAACAAGTGGTGGTTGTTTTGGCTCCCGTTCCGTTCTTGTATTTATCCAAACCGCTTCCTTCCCCTTCACTCCTTTCAAGGAACCTTTTTCTCTGAACCCCCTTCCCAGTCCCTTCATGATCTGAGGACCCCTTTGGATAAGCTTTTCTGGGTTGACTTTGCTTGTTTTACTCTCTCTAAGGAATTCGGGTTCCGGGCCACCCTCAGGCTCTGTAGATAGCCACAGCTGGAAGGTGCCCTCCTTTCTCTCCCATCTCTCTCCTGGCGGCAGGCCCACAGGACCAGCTGCTCCATCCCTCACTCACCAAGGTGCTCTGGAGCCCCTGACCTGCCTCACCCTCAGCTGCTGTGTCCTGTTTTCATTCCTTTCTGCTCCTCACATTTACAGAAGCACAATTTGGGATTCCTGCAGGGAACTGACAGTGAGCCTGTCCCTACTGTGTGCTCTGCCCGGTTTCACTTCATTCCTGATTTACTGCATCCCTTAGTGAGTGGGTGACAGGCCAGACTGGTCAAGAACTCTCCTTGCATATTTACTTCACTCGTGACGTGATTGCACCATTAAACGCTCTGGCATGCCGGCATAGTCATTCAGACCTGCTGAGCCTTCGTCCTTGGCTTCCTTCTTGGATGTGGGTGGCATTCACAGGTTGGAAAGAGTCATCAGCCCTTTCAGAGACGGAGGGACACCACAGGCTGCCATGTTCACCTGCATCAGGAGTTCAGGATCAGAATGTGCAATTGCCCTCAGCTTTCAGAGCTAACTAGTGTGGCGGGAAACTCGCAAAAGGCTTTCTTTATAGCTCATTGCTTATACACACACTCGTGGTTCATATGTAAACATAGTAATTTCATGTTCATTGCATGTTCTCTTATTTCCATTTATAGAATAGTCTTTATTCTGTATCTCATATGTCATATGTGCCCTCTAAGAAAAGGTGAACTTACCAGTCATTAAAGTGATACCTAAAGAATCACTTTGGTAATTGTCACCATCCAGGCGCTCGTTAGTAAAGGATGCCGCATAAACTAGCCCAATACTCATGGGTGGAATTCTGCGTCTTTCATTGCCACGAAACATTTGGAGAACACAAATTGTAGTAATCAGCCTGAAAGAAATGAAACGTGAATTGCATTATTGCTTCATTGTCACTAATATAACGAAGGGAAGGACAGTCGGCAGATTTAGAAAATGTGGGGAGGGATGGTAGAAATGTTATTCTGTTTTTGTCTTACTTTTCCATTGCTTTTGAAGAGTCCTTTCCAGATTAACCCACTTCGTCAGTTTTGGTCTGATGGGAGGAAAAGGTGGCAGAGGCAGCTTTGAGTAATTATTCCTGTCTTTTTCTATCTGCCTGATGACTTTTAACCCTTACTTCCCACCTTTCCTTCATGTTTTGAATTGAATTTCCTTCTTTAAATATCATTCCCTTTCAGCATTTTCCACGTGACAGTCCACTTTGGAGACATCAGAAACACAGGTCTCTGCCACCCTTGGGGACAGGGTGCTAACGAACAGGGCTTCTGCTACATACGTGCAGCCCACACAATAGCCATCAGTAGGTTCAAAGCAATCTGACTTTCTCTTAGAAACAGTTAACTCAAGTCCTAGACCAAAAGCATAAGAAAACCAATCTACACTAATAAATGTGTAAGATGCAAATTGACCGTACCTTTGCTATGCCCACCAGCCAATCAGGAGTGAGTATGCAGATTAACCCAACAAAGATGGTGGGTTAATTTGCATATGCGGGTGCTGAGCGGGCGGGGGCGGGGCGGCAGGTGTTCTGCACTGCCCCAGCTGCTCCGGGCCTCTGGGCAGGGTGGGAAGGTAGAAAGGCGGCTCCAGGCTGGAGCAAAGGGGGTGCCAGCAGTCAGGGGAAGGAAGGCCCGCTCTTGCATGAATCTTCGTGCATCGGGCCTCTAGTTCTAAGATAAGACCTCAGGCTGTTGAAGGTACGTAGATTATTTTAATAGAGATGGCAGAGTCTAATAAGGTTTTTGTTTTCTACTTCTAAGGAATTTGTATTTCTTACGTTTAGGATTTGTCAAAAAAGAATTTTTTTTAATGTAAATTTCTTTTTCTTCCCCTTCTTTTAAGGTTGCTGGTATTGTGGGCCGTGCAGACCTCCTGGGTGCCCTGTTCTTTCTGTTATCCTTCCTGGGCTACTGTAGAGCGTTTAGAGAAAGTAAGCGTGATGTTTGTCTTCTTAAATTTGAGATGGGAAATTATTTGCTTATATAAGGTCATCCCTTTGAGGGAATGTGGGGGAAAGGTGTATGCCCTCTGTAGGTGTCTTGTTTCACTCCATTGCTTTTTTAATAATGCAGAGTTTGGACATCAGTAGTCACACAGGAGCAGCCTGCTAGGCGGTGAGACCAAGAGCTTCTGCCCTAGGCACTGAAGCAGTTGTGATTGATTTTTGTGATTTTATTTCCAGCAAAATTGTAGGAGGGAAAAAAAAGCTATTGGTTCTTTTTTTTATTAAAACCTCATGGAAGGGGGGGTGGGAAATAGAAAAACGCTGAAATGGATAGTTATGCACCTGGAGTGTGAGGTTCTTGTTTTTTCATCGGAACATTATTAATACTTACAAAATCTGTTGACTTTTCTCAAAGACAGCTCTAAAGTTTCAGGAAGTACCATTTTATTAATTTTAACATATCTTCCTTTAAAGGAACTACTTCCTATTCTGAGTAGATTTCAAAGACCTCAGATGCTTTTTGAAGAAAGTATTAAATGTTGATAGTTTTGACATATTTGGGGCACATTATTTAAGAGGTATAATAAAACCTTCCTTTAATTCTAACGATTGTTCTTATGAAATAATGGAAAATTAATCAGGACACTAAAAAATCTATCAAGTGAATTGATACATTTATTAGTCTCCTTTAATTGAATATTCTCATAGAATTGTGAAAAACTAAAGATACTGTATATTGTTTTCCTGGGTCCTTTTACTAATCTTTTCTCTGTTCCCATTCATATACATTTTCTGATATATGTGTCTGTTTTTAATTCATATGTAAATTATAAAATTATATCTGAGAGCCATCCAGACAAAAGAGAGGTTTTTTTTGTTTTGTTTTGTTTTAATAAAGCCTTTGGAAACGTAATACCACAGGTAAAAGTACTTAATACTTTGATTCATGAAAAATTAGTTACGCATATTTCAGTATCAATGGAATTATCTTAACTCTTAACAGCAATATAACCTTTCTTTTTTTTTTTTTTTTTTTTAACTTCAGGAGCATTCTTTTAACATTTATGACATTTTTTACTTTAAAATTGGAAGGAGACTTTATAAAGAGATTTGTTGTAGGCCTTTCATGTTAAGGATGCAGATGTTTTCGAGAAAGCTAACCTGGGAATACTTAATGCTCGCACACCCATAACAGTGCTTGATGTGGCTTCAGCGGAAACCCTTTTAGGAACATGAATAGGTTTTCGTTTGGTTGGAGCGACTTGGCACAGTTAGAAGACGGATGGACGGGTACGGAATTCCGCCTTTGAAGAAGCCTTCCTGATGGCCTCGTGTCTACAGGAAGGCCTGGCCTTCCCGGGCTTTGGTGTTCTGTCCACGTGAGCCCTCTTTAGGAAAAGGAAAGAGTGGATGACATGGCGTCTTTGGACCCACCTCCAGACTGGTGTGGCTCCTCGCAGTCACCGACAGCTTGCTTAGTCTTTGGAAAATAGAAAGCTGTCGGAGGTTGTCCCTCTACTCACATCCAGGCCTCGGGGTCTTGACCCTGAAAGTCATTTTTGGCCACAGACTTCAGTTTCCTTTCTGTCTTCTGACCGTGGCCTCTTGCCACACAGGTGTGGAGTTAAGCTGTCTCAGAATGGTTTCTCCTTGGAAGTTTAAAGTGGGCTGGGAACACCCACCCCTCAAGCTGCACTCTCCGTCCTTGTGAGTTGGTTTTCGCTGCCACTTCCAGTTCCCACTCATTGTTTTCACAGATTTTCACAAATCTGCCTCCCATGCTTGTTGTGGGTCTGGAGGTGCAGAACCACGGGACTCTTAAGAGCGGAGCTTACACTCAGTGACTCGCTTATTTGGAGGAAGTCCTGTGTCCTACACACAAGGCAGTTCTCTGTCCCCTCCCCACGAAGGTTCTGTCCCCAGCCCCACCTGCTGTAACCGCAGGACTTAGCAGACCAGATGCCCAGCCCTGTCCTTGCTCTCCTCAGGTGGCACCACTGGAACAGCCCCTTCACTCTGCCGGCCACTGCCCTGTCCTCTCCTGACCACCACTCCCAAATCCCTCTGTCTCAGTGCTGATGAAGGTGCGTGGAGCCTTTCCTAGTCTCTGTTGACACAGGCACTATGTGTTCAGCCTCTTTTCCCTGTGTCAGATTCTCCGGACTCCTTTTTAAACATGCTAAAATAGAAACTACCTCTGCCCTGGCAGCCAGGGTTTCCCAGTGGTTAGAGTGTTGGCCTGCACACCAGAAGGTCTTGGGTTCCATTTCTAATCAAGGGCATGTACCTGGGTTGCAGGTTCCATCCCTAGCCCTGGTGTTTGGGAGGCAGCCAATTGATTTTCTCTCTCTCTCACCCCCTTCCCCCGCCTTTCCATTTGCAAAAACTCAATGGGGAAACATATTTTCAGGATTTAAAAAAAAAGACACAACTTTTTTGTTTATAAAGAATACCTTTCTGGAATAATTTTTAAACATCATGGTAATGTCCAACTTCACAATATAATATGATGGCCGAGTCTTGTTTAAGAGGAGCAAAGTTTTCACAAAGTGGTAATAGCTTTACAGAGGAGAAACAGTGAGAGCTCTGTGCAAAAAGAATTCTGGTTCAAAATTCATGATGAGACACTTCTGATTCTGTTCTAAAATGGCATACAGGATTATCCGTGTTGGTCATTCATTCTCTCACCAATAATGAATCAAACATGAGGGCATCGTTGTAGCAGGCCCTGTGTCAGGCACACAAAACCTAGAAGGACACAGCCCTGCCCTTGGAGGACATAGAGCCTGGCATAGTTTGACTAAAATAAAACTTCCATTATTCAGATTACTCAGGGAACAAAATATTCTGGTTTTCCATACTGCTCTGTCAACATTTTCCTCCCTGTAGCCTCCTCACCGCAGGTACTCAATAGGTACCCCCTTCTTTTCGTGGTGTGTTTATGCAGAATTGATGACTTTGACCTCTGTACTGCTAATTTCTTTGTTTGCCCTGGAACATACAATTTATTATTTTATTGAGATATAATTGGCATATAACATTGTATTCATTGTAGGTATACATCATAATGTTTTGATATATGTATATATTACAAAATGATCACTATAATAAGTCTAGTTGACATTCATCACCCCACATAGTTATACCTTTTTTTAAAAATATTTTATGATTTTTTACAGAGAGGAAGGGAGAGAGATAGTTAGAAACATCGATCAGCTGCCTCCTGCACACCCCCTACTGGGGGATGTGCCCACAACCAAAGTACATGCCCTTGACCAGAATCGAACCTGGGACCCTTCAATCCGCAGGCTGACGCTCCATTCATTGAGCCAAACCGGTTTCGGCATATACTTTTTTTTTCTTTTCTGATTTCAGCAACTTGCAGAAATACAGTACAGTATTAACTGCTGTTACCATGGTGTACTTATCTATAATAATAAAAGGGTAATATGTTAATTAGACCGGACATCCTGCTAGGGCCAGAGGGAAGCCAGCCCAGGTCCCAGGCACCTGTTGGTGGCCAGAGGAAGCTGTGCCTGGGTCCTGGGTGCCGGAGGGAGGCTGGTGCCGGTAGCTGGGGGAAGGAAGGCCTACTCTTGCATGAATTTTTTGTGCATTGGGCCTCTAGTTATTTTATAATTGGCTGTTTGTACATTTTCACTGCCTTCATCCACCCCATCCCCCACCCCACCTCTGGCAGCTACTACTCTGTTCTCTCTCTGAGTTTGGTGTGTATGTGTTTTTAGACCCCCTCATAAAAGTGAGATCATACAGTATTTGTTTTTCTCTAACTTATTTCAGTTAGCATAATGCCTTCAAGGTCTGTTGTGTTGCAAATGACAAGATTTCCTTTTTATGGCCAGATAATATTCCATTGTGCACACGTGCCACATTTTCTTCATGCATGGGTCTGTCAGTGGACACTTAGATTATTTCCATATCTTGATCGTAAATAATGATGCGGTGAACGTGGTGCCTCTGTCGTCTCGTGATAATGATTTTGTTTTCTTTGTGTAAATACCATGAGGTACAATTGCTGGATCAGATGGTAATTCATTTTATATTACTAATTTTTTCCATTTCGTCTATTAAATTTCTTGATACTAATGGACATTGGGTGTGTATATTTTCATCTGGACTTGGAGATATCTCAAACAATAGTCACACATTTTTATTTTTTTCCCATCGAGTCAGTGTGGACTGTAAAAACTTGGGGGGGAGGGGGGAAGGAGGGGTAAGAGAGATAAACACATCATGGCAATGAGGAATCCTTGGGCCAGATACTCGTGTTGTTCACATGTTTGCCAGTGTTCCACTGGGACCCAAAGCTCTTCTGTAGTGGAAGTTCAGCCCAGTGTTGATGGAATACAAATACTAATGCTATTTATAACTTAAATTTATGTTTAAAGTGACCTGGTCTTTGTTCTTCTTGGATCTGAACATAAATTCAAAGAAAGGTCTAACATTAGTTGCATATAAACTTGAAGTTCAAGAAAGGTTTTTGCAGAGAAACAGATTTAATATTTTTTATAAGGAAACAAAATATTGAGTACTCTGAAATTAATGATGGAACTAGTTCAAAAGCTCTTTCAGAGGTTGTATATTTTTTTGATAACCTCATTAGCTCTCTTTATAGATGCGATGTCTGTATTATAAACCTTGGGACAATTTTTAACTGCCTGAGTTTAACAACAAGCCATTCTGTACTAATCTCCAGAATCCTGGGGTTTTTATAAAATGAAAGATGTCTACACACATAACATTTGTCTGCCCTTTTCTGGGTGTATGCTTAAATTGAGTATCTCTAAGCAAGATCTTTTGAAACAGAATCCTTTTTCAAAAAGAAGTTTCCTTATAAAGGAAGCATACATCTTCTCATAAAAAGGAAAAACTCTAAGTCAGATGAAGTCGATGGTGCACTAGTTACTATTTCTTTTTTCTTTCTTTTTTTTTTTTAGTTACTATTTCTGAATACCCAAAACAAA